ACCAGTCACCAGTTTGTCAATCACACGGCCTGTCCCTTACGCAGGTCGCCCCCATCCCCCCAAGCATCGGAGAAGAGGACCGACGGAGGAGGAGGAGGAAGAAGAGAGGAACCTCCATGGAAGCCGTACTGCAGGACTAGCTGGTTACTGTCTGGCTTGACCAGGATTTTTCTCTAGCCCCAGACTAGAAACATTTTAAATTGTCTTTTTAACAACTCCAGCCTGTTAATAAACTTTGTTATCCTTTTAATCGGCATCACATTGAATATTTATTTATATAGAGTGCTCCCCCTGGGGCTCCCCACCCCTACTACACCAACATCAGTCTTACTGAAAAAAAGAACAGAATTAAAGTGACACATGATAAACTATGAGTCAGGTTTTGTAGCTACTGTAACCGCAATAACGATAATTGACCAGCAGGTGTCACTGTTCATCATTGCAGGTTTCCTCTGATAGAGCTCAGATTTATGATTCAAGAAATGTTTGTTGTCATATGCGCAGTATGTTTTCCTATCGTAAGAAATTCTTTCTTTTCTATCCACAACAAATGCCAAACAATATAATTCTAAATACAAAATAGATTAAAAAAGATCAAATTCAAGAAAATATATAAAATAAAATAAAAATAGATAAATAATCCTGTTTAAGAGCCTGATAGCACGGGGGGGGGGGGGTCAGGTAACACTTTAATATCCACCAGCATGATTCTAATGAGACGCAGATATCTGTGGCCATAGGATGCTTTCACAGTCACCTGTTAACCATGGTCGGTTTAATTTGGCATTTTTGACAAGAATTCACAAATAAGACTCTTTCATGTCAATGTGGAAACAGATTCCTACAAAGTCATGTCAGTTAAACATATAAAAACTAAAATGAATGATTGCATGAGTATTCATCCCATTTAAAGAGAATCACCTAATTCAACACAGGTGCAGCCAGTTGCTGCTAGAGGTCACACAGTTAGTGAAATGAAAATCAGAGTTCATTGAATTTCAGTGTTTGTAGTGTAAAGACATCTGTATCTGTGTACAATTTCCAAGTCACTGAATATCCCTTAGACTACAGTTATATCAGTTATTAAGAAATGGAAAGACTATGGCACATGTGGAAAACTGCCTAGAGCAGGTCGTCCTCAAAAACTGAGTGATGAGACCAAAATTGAGCTTTTTGGCCATAAGACTAGACAGTGTGTTTGAACACCAAACACTGTGCGTTGTCACAAACACACCATTCCTACCCTGAAGCATGGTGGTGGCAGCATCATGATGTGGGGATGTTTCTTGGCAGCAGGCCCTGGAAGGCTTGTAAAAGTCAAATATTGTCTGTCATTTACATGTAAAAATCCGTAAAATAAATGGTTGAAAAAAAAAAACAACTTTTATTTGACAGTTTATCATTTCAGTCTTAACCTGTTATATCTGGTGCTAATATGTTCACATGATGTCTAAAAGCAGTGGACACATGCAATAATGAAGTGGTTCAGGTTTGATTTTATTATCTGCAGTGAATACTTTTACAACATTTTTGATTTATATGCAAAAAAGGCCTCACTGTGTAGAAGGCACATAGAGCGGAACCAGCTGCGTTTGACTCAATCTACCACAGATTGAATTCAAACCCAGAGCCTAAAAAAGAAACCCCTATTTTACGACCAATGGCGACACCAGTTCCCAGTACTTTTGCCTCCACACCCGTGAGGCCGACACCAACGCCGGTGTCTGCTGCCAGACCGACTTTGACTTTCACCGGACCAGCAGCAGCCGAGGCACTGGCCACTTCTGCTCTGGCAAAGGCTTCGGCACTAAGAGACCCCGCAGAGGCCCCGATACCTGCACAGGCGTTGGGCCCTTTGGCCTCGGCATCAAAGACGCTCCATTCAGCGCGAGCGTGGCCAATTCCTGCAGCAGCGGATAGACCCGCTTTGGGAATACGCTCACCAGGCTTGTTGTTTAATCCCACAGCATATTCTTCAGTGCCAGCGTAGCCACCTTTAGCAAAGGCTTTACCGGG